CTGTTTTTTATCAGGATAGATTGGTTTTCATTTTCTAAAAATTTCTACAGACTGAATCATGCAATATGTACTCTTTTTGTTGTCTGGATTCTTTTACTCAGCATAATTATTTTGAGATTTGCTCATATTGTATGCATCAATAATAGCTCATTTGTTTTATTGCTGAAGTTTCCCTTGTATAGATCTGCCATATTTGTCTGTCCATTAAGGACATTTGAGTTGTTTCCAGTTTGGGGCTATTGTGAATAAATTTGATATAAACATTCATGTACATGTCTTTCAAGAGACATGTGCTTTCATTTCTCCTGGGAAAATACCTAGAATGTTAATACTTAGGTTTTAACCTTGATAAACTCTTTATAAACCAGTTGGACTGTTTTCCACTCCCAATGGCACTGAATCAGCTCCAGTTGTTCCACATTCCAGCCAATACTTGTTATGGTCAGTCTTTTTAACTTCAGCTGTGCTAATGTGTGTGTAATGGTAACTCAATGTGGGTTTAATTTGCATTTTATTGGTGACTAATGATGTTGAGCATCTTTTCATGTCCTCATTTACCATCTATATATCTTTTGTAAAGTGTTTAAATTTCTTGCTCATTTGTAATTGGGTATTCTGTTATTGAGTTGTAGAAGTTCTTTATTCATATATTTTAGTATATTTTAAATTCAAGATGTTTTTCATTTTCTTAACAGTTCTTTTGAAAATCAGATTTTACCTTTGATATAGCCCAGTTTATTAAATTTTCCTCTTCTCTTTCTCACTCTCTGAATTCAAACCACATAGACCCCTCTTTCAGTTCCTCATATATGCCTGCTCAAACTTGTTGCAACACCTTTGTATGTGTGAATCCCTCTATTTAAAATGCCCTTTTCATGACCATTTACCTAGTTAACATAACACGTATCTATCCTTTGAACTCAGTTAAACTGCAACTTCTTCAGGAAAGGCCTCCCTCATAGGCTCCATTTTAAACTACATTTCTCTCTTACACATACTCATAACATGCATGACCTTCCTTCTAAAACTTTTCAAAGACTTTATCTCGGTTTAAAACTAAGGGACTATTTCATTTTATTTGTTATTTTTATTTTTTATGTTTTAATTTATCTTTACTGTTAAAAGTATTACAAATGTTCTTCTTTTCCCTCCATTGATCCTCTCTACCTTGCACCCCCCTCTCCAGGTCTTCACTACACTATTGTCTATGTCCATGAGTTATGCATATATGTATATAAGTTTTTAGGTTAATCTCTCCCCACCCTCCCCCTGAGATTCATCAGTCTGTTCCATGCTTCTATGTCTTTGGATCTATTTTGCTCATTGGTTTATTTTTTCATTAGATTCCAAATATAAGTAAGATCATGTGATACTTGTCATTCTCTGACTGGCTTATTTCACTTAACATAATACTCTCCAGGTCCCACCATGCTGTATCAAAGGGTAAGGGATCCTTCTTTTTTATAGCTGTATAGTATTCCAAGATGTAAATGTCCAAGGAGATGCTTGATAAGATTTCAATCTTCTTGAACATGTAGAGACTTGTTCTGTGTCCTAACATGTGGTCTATCTATGAGAATGTCCCATGTGCATTGAGGGGAAAGTATATTCTGCAGCTTTGGGGTGAAATGTTCTATAAATGTCAATTAATTCTATCTGATCTAGTGTGTCATTTAGAGTTACTGTTTCCTTGTTGATTTTTTGTCTGGAAGATCTATCCAGTAAAGTCTGTGGGGTGTTAAAGTCCCCTACTATGACTGTATTGCTGTTTATCTCTCCCTTAAAGTCCACCAGAAGTTTTTTTTTCAGCCTGTGTGAGTCATTTGTTCTGAGATGGGTCTCTTGTAGACAGCATATATTTGGGCCTTGTTTTCTTATCCATTCAGTGACCCCACTTCTTTTGATTGGGGCATTTAATTAATTTGCATTTAAAGTTATTATTGATAGGTACTTATCTATTGCCATTTTATTTCTTTATGCCTATGCTTCTCTCTCTTTCTATTTCTACTTCTTATTACAGTAGTCCCTTTAACATTTCTTGCAATGCTGGTTTGGTGGTGATATACTCCTTTAGCCTCTTTTTGTCTGGGAAGCTCTTTATTTCACCATCTATTTTGGGTGATAACCTTGCTGGATAGAGTAGTCTTGGTTTCAGATCCTTGCTTTTCATTACCTTGAATACTTCACGCCATTCTCTTCTGGCCTGTAGAGTTTCTGATGAGAAGTCAGCTGACTGCCTTATGGGAGCTCCTTTATAGGTAACAGATTGCTTTTCTTTTGCTGCCTTTAAGATTCTCTCTGTCTGGAATTTTTGGCATTTTAATTGATGTGTCTGGGTGTGGGCCTCTTTGGATTCTTCTTGCTTGGGACTCTCTGTGCCTTTTGAACTTGTGTGACTTTTTCCTTCACCAGTTAGGGAAGTTTTCTGCCATTATTTCTTCAAACAGGTTCTCTAACACTTGCTTACTTTCAACCTCTTCTGGTAATCATGTTATGCACATATTGTTATATTTCATGGTTGTCTCACAGCCTTAATTATCCACCTTTTTAAAAAAATGTTTATTTTTGTCCCCCCATTTTGGCAGCCTGTTTGGATTTGTTTCTATATATTAGGTAGATCTGCTAGGACTCTCAGTCTTTTGGATGGTCTCTGGTGCAGGCCCATGTCTGATGCTGTTTGTGACTGGCCTTGAGTGAGTACCCTGTTTGAAGCTTTCCACACTCCACATCTTGTGGTTCCCTCTGCTGGGGGCTGAGTGTATTTGGAAAAGACCAAGATGTGCATCAAGGTCTGCTTTCCAAGCCCTGGGTCCAGAAACAAATCAGGCAAATGCTCAAAGCACCCAGAGGCTGATTGTTATTCAGTCTTTTAATGAACTTCAGGCTGTAGGAACTCCACAGGGTGGAGCAATTGCTTCCCTCCCAGGCAAAAGCTGCTTGGATAGTAAATGTCTGCCTGAGAAACATGTCCTCTGCTGTATGGGTAAATGGCTCAGCACAAGAATCCAGATGACTGCCCTCTGAGCTCTATCCCAAAGCCAGAATCCCTGGATACTCCTCACACAACTCTATTCCACTCTGCCTTCCTTCCACAGGAGCCCAAAGTGAGTGGCTACACATGAAACTTTGTGTGTTAGCCCTTTAAGAGGGTTCCTGCATTCTTAGCCATCTGTCCCTGGCAGACAGAAAGCCTGCTGCTTTTCACAGCTAGATGTTATGTGGGCACCTTTCTCAGTTTTGGTGCTCTTGGCTGGGAAGCCCAGCTTGGGGTTTAGGTCCCAGAGTCCTCAGTGGGAACCCCCCACTGCTGAGATAGCCCTCCAGACCTTCAGCTGCTGCTTGTGGGAGCCCAGCCAGCCCTCCCATGGCTCTGCACTTCCTACCCATCTCTATGTGGTCTCCCCTTTAGGTCCTCGGTTATGAGGGGGCTCTCCAGTTAGTCTTCAGTTGATTATTCAGGATGATTTTTCTATATTTTAGTTGTAATTCCAGTTTGGTCCTGGGGAGTGTCAGTGTAGCTTACACTCAATCTACCGCTATCTTGCAATCTCTCTATTTGTTTATTTTAATATCTGTTTTCTGCATATATAATGTCTGGTCTATGTTAAACACATAATTATTTGTTCAGTAAATATTCATTGGAAGAGTGAATGAATGAATGAAAAATAGTGAGTCCACAGATAAACTCAAGTATATATAAAATTTCAAAGCCAAAAGTGAGTTATGTTTAACCAGTAGGAGAAGGATGGGCTTTATTATTATTATTGTATATTTATTTCAGGTATACAGTATAATGGTTAGACAATTATATAATTTACAAAGTGGTTTTTAAATGCCTGGTGCTAAGTCAACTACTAATTATTTGTAAAAAGTATTAAAAGAATTAAAGCTGGAGTCCCAATATATTTCTTACACCAAAATAAATTCCAAATAGATGAAAAAAATGCAAAAATTAAACCATAAAGTTTCTAGAAGAAAACACAAGAGAACATCTTAATAATAAAAAAAAAAAAATGACAAAGTAATTGACCAGTCAGTGTTGCTCAGTGGTTGAGAGTCAACCCATGAACCAAGAGATCATGGTTCGATTCCCAATCAAGGCACATGCCTGGGTTGCGGCTTGATCTTCTGTAGGGGACATGCAGGAGGCAGCTGATTGATGATGTTTCTCTCTTTCAGTGATGTTTCTCTCTATCCCTCTACCTCTCTAAAAATCAATAAAACATATTTTAAAAAAACATTTTAAAAATATATAACAAGGTAATTTTTGTAATCTTTACATATATATATATATTACTGTGTAAGCATATCAGAAAAATCAGACTACATAGAAGGGAAAAAAAGAATGATAGATTTTATGTAAAATATAAATTTTATGAGACATGCTTTTTTAAAATTACATGTAATGTGTATCAAAAGAGTTAATATCTTTAGTATACAAATAATTTTTCCAAATCAATAAGGAAAAAGTCATCACCTTAATAGAAAAATGTAAAATTTTCATGAACAAGCACTTCATAAAATAAGGAAATCAAACAACCAATGAACATATGGAATACCTTTCAGGAAGGAAATTTGGCAAGATCTATCAAAATGGAAAATGCCCATACTTTTTACTCAGCACTCTCATTTTAAAGATTAACTCTAAAGATAAATCTTAGAATTAGAACAAGTTATATGCCAAAAAATATTTGTTGCTGAAGTAGAGTAGCAAAAATTTTGGAATATTTGAAATGTCCATCATAAGAAATTGTTATATAAATCTTGGTAATATATATTTAATGTATTATTATTATGATTTTTATTATATAGTCACCACACTTGTAATTTAACATACAATGAGATTACTTGATTCATTATCTCTCCCTGCTCACAAATGGTAGAATCCATGAGGTTAAGTACTTTTAACTTTTTTCTAGCAACTAGTTCATTTCCCAATAGGCACTCAATACAGACTTGTTGAGCAAATGAATGAATGAGGCCTTTCTTTATCTTAATAGGCTGGAAGTGATGGGGAGAGTATTGGAAACTGCCCTTTTTGCCAACGCCTTTTCATGATCCTCTGGCTTAAAGGAGTTAAATTCAATGTGACTACTGTTGACATGACCAGGTAAGAGAATTCAGGACAGGTTTCATTCTTAGGATTGAAATTGGTAGATACCAATAAAATGTTGGTGTCTGTATGATGTGTGCCTTATCTAAAAACCTAACTCTGCTTACTTTTAATAATCATAGAAAGCCCGAAGAGCTAAAGGACTTAGCCCCAGGTGCCAATCCTCCCTTCCTGGTGTTTAACAAGGAATTGAAAACAGACTTCATTAAAATTGAGGAGTTTCTAGAGCAGACACTGGCTCCTCCAAGGTACAGCATTTTACAAGACATTATTGTTCTTGAGACCATTTATTTTATTGGCTTATTAATTGCAGATTGAGCATTCTTACTTCTAGACATCTAACTCTTTTTCAATGTCAGACCTTTCTTTTGTTATCTTTCTAGAAAACTTTGCAAAGATCCCCCTCGATCACTCTATATATGATTAGAAAACTTTACTACAGAATTATTTATTTAATATATATAAAACTGTTAAAACTTTATAAAATGTAGGCAGTATATTAGAAAAGGGCAAATGACAGACTTGGAAACCTGGGAAAGGCAGGTAAATTTGGGCCACATTTAATTTCAACCTCATCATCTGATCCATAATGAAGTTTGAGGGCATTTATACTGATAAAAATCAGACCTTTTTGTTGTAGAGCCCTCAGAAGATCTTCAATTAAAGATCTTTAATTATTCAGCTTGATCTTTTAGCTCTACAGGCTGAAAAATATTATGTCTATTATGTATAAACTTCCCCCTTTGACTTTAAATACACAAAGAGGATAGATATAACATTTAAAATTATTTTTAAAATAAGAAAGTAAATTCTCTTTGTTCTAGAAATAGAGAAGTAACCCATGGTAGAGTACGAGTGAGAGCATGGGGTAGTAACACTTTATAGCCCATGAGGACTGATCATGATTAGGCTTTCACATCACTGATGGCATGAGGGCAGAACATACCCAACACAAGGGCTAGAGGTCAGAAAACAGATCTCACATAGTTAACCAGTGGCCAGAACTGCCCTGTCTACACTTGAATGAAAGTTATATATATCTGCCTACACAGGATAGTGTCTGGAAACAGGAAGCCTGTTGTACTTATTTTTTTATTGCTGTATAACAAATTACCGCAAACTCAGTGTCTTAAAACAACACTCATTTATTATCTCACAGTTTCCATTGGTAAGGACTCCGGCTGTGAACTTAAACCTGCTCTAAAAAATGAAGTCTCAATCATAAACAAAAGGTTCTATCAGTCCATAATTCTTCTTACATAAGAAACTAAGGACACTATTCTAGATTCTTTTCTGTGTGACTATATTAGGTCTCTCTCTTCAATTATTGATGGCTTCTTAGACTTTAGCATCTGCTCCAAGTCTGTCCTGTATGTATTGAGTTCTTATTTTGTTCTTTCCCCCTCCCCATCCTCCTCTACTATGTCCTCCCCTCACATTATCTGATCCCTAATCTTTTCTTGCTCCCAAAGGTAACCAGTGAAAAAATCTGTGTATCTTTCCATACCGTTTTCTAGGTTCATATAAGCATAATAATAATAAGTACAATTTATAAATATTGCATGTTGCTTATCTCACTTCAAAGAACATTGTAACATTCTTCAACTCTACTGGTTTAGATTTAATTCATTTTAATGTCTGGATAATAGTCCATGTCACAGATGTGCTACAAGTTACTAAACTATTCATTTACTGATAGACATTCCCTTTCCTTCCAGTTTTTTGGAAGGAAAAAACTACAAACTACAAACAGTAGTATAAATAACATCCTTGTTCATATGTCCTTATGTACTGGTGTTTTCATTCCTATGTAATAGATTCCCTGAAGCAAAATTCAAATGGTTTATAAACCATGAACACAGACAATAGTGCAGTGAAGGCCTGGGGTAGGGCACAGCCAGGTGAAGGGAGGAAAGGGGAAAATGGGGGACATCTGTAATACTCTCAACAATTAAAA